TAGAATTTAAATCATTACATTGAAATGTATCGTAACCCATTGGAAAAAAAACCTTAATTTTCATCATTTTAATGCAGTTGAAATAAGGGTTGTATGACACCTTGGAAACTCCCCTCTCAACCCAAATTTAGCCCAGTTTTAAACTAGATGCTTGATTGTTTGATCCTTGATCCTTACTGGGTTCCAGTCAGCCTGTTTTCCTGCTTCCTGGCCCCTCCTCCCATGACTCGCATCCCACTCCTTCACCTTTAACTCTCTTTCCATCTGTCGTTCTTTCTCCATCTCCTCCATGGTCTCTCCACTTTAACTCTCTTTTTCCATCTTCTAGTCTACAGTCAGGATGTTATCTGTCTTTCCCTCCCGGTGTTATACTCCTCTGCTTTGTAGCTTGATGCGTGCTCTGCATCAAATTAATTTCCCTTCCTGCCTCCACATTTTTACCTTCTTAATGCCCCTGTACCGTTTCTGTCCATCTTTCGGCATGCCTTTCATATATTTGCTCGTCCTCTTTTACATTATTTTTCTCTCACATTTGAGCTCACTTTGTTCTTTTTGTTTTATCCACTTTATTTTTCTTTTCTTTAAGTTCTCTCCTCGTCTCTGTCTTTACACATTTATCCCAAAATGTAGCCTTGCACCCGCTTTCTTTTTCTTCCTCTCTGTTCTCCTCTTTACTCACACTGTACTATATATCCCTTCAGAGCTGGATACAGAAACCTCCCTGTTGGCCTTGTCAGTCAGTCCATAGCTCAGTTAGCAGGGCTGATCGATCAGTGGAGTTCTTGAATTCCCCTGAAAGTCAATTACAAACTTATTCGAGCTATTTTAGGAAAGGGGGGAAACTGTAGAAATCATTAGCTAGATAATGTCATGTCAACCTTCCCCAGCACGCCAGGGCAGAGCAGGCGCTGCTTGTGGATATGCAATTTGTCTGGGTCATCTGAGAATGGGACAGAACGTGGGAGGATGTTTGAACAAATTTATAGAGTTGCTCTTCAAGTGGAAGAAATCTTTGTGGATTTGTTAAACATGGTAGTAACTATTAGGACTGGCATCAAATGCCAATACTTTTTGAGAACTGCCCAAAATATGTTAATAGTACCATTATCTGGAATTAAACCTTGGATTCTTAAGGCCTTTACACGCTGGGAACGTGACAACATTCAAACAACATAAAAATGCAAAAATGCTCGCCTGCAAATATGTTGCATAAAACTATCAAAACTATTCGTACCGGCAGCGAATGTGCGACACATAAAAATAAAACATATAATCCACACACACTTAACAAGCAGGACAATGACTGGGGAAAGAACAGCAGCAGCTTGCAGTGCTCCTGGGGGTCTCAGGTCCCACTGCAGCGCTGAATGCGGCAAAGATAGAGATGTATTAATACGTTAATGCGTGCTCCCGAGTGGCTTCTTTCTTCGCCTTTGAACAGCGTGCAAGCACCAGCTAATGTTAGCTTTTCAATGGGGTCCGCTAATGTCTACAAACATTGCCAGTAAGCCGGAAAGGTGTTGAATATATAAAAGTGAAGGAAAAGGTGTCAAATAACTATTTATCTGCTATTCTTTATTTTTTGGAGTTAGTACCACTAGTAGGTGGTGATAACATCTACATCAACATTGATGTAGATGTTATCACCACTGGTACGGTATGCTTGTTTGATTACTTGGAATCATTTTTGCTTTCTCGTGTGGATGGAAATATATTAGGAGTTAAGTACCCATATATGCATAGACAAGATCTTAGTAGATGAGGACCAGTATATTCTGCTGATTAGAGGTACCTGTTAGCTTTAACACTTTAGAGACCAAACTGCTATTCAATCAATTCATTGATGTTTTTAACTGTACAAGGATAATCGTAATATTTAAAAATGTCCCTTAATGACACTCCTTTATCCAGTTTCCATCCAAGTGACATCAACTGCAATATTGCATTCCTTCTATTCATCACATAAAACAGGCAGAACATTTTTATCTTTCTTTTCTTGGTCTCGTAGCTATAATCTCATTGGGTTGAGTTTAGATGGCATCAGGAATAATTTCATTGCTGGTCCATCTTTAACTAAGGTAGATGGAGTTTTTTTACGATAACCTTTCTGCCATTGCTATTGAAATTGAGGACTAATACATCAGCATAGAAATTTAAAGTTTGGACTGACCTCATGTGGAGGGTTGGTAGACAGTTGCTGCCTGAAGTCAGCATTTCAAAACCACAGTGAATCAGTCCTCAAAAACTCAACTAGCAGGTACACATAAGTATCAAGAAAACTCCTAACTGTAATAGCAACTTATTTGTGAGGAGTGAATTTTAAACAACTTTGGCTTCTGTTTTTCAAGGATATGACACCCCACATTTTAAACAGAACATGATACTGTGATATTGTCACAGCAAGCACTGATGTTGATTTGATGCTAAGTTTAATCTATGCAGCAGTCTGTCTGCATCGGCTCTGTGCAAGCTCAGCTCTCAGCTGTATCTCCGTGTCTCTTGTTTAACTGTGACCTGAAGCATTTATTTACTTTTTTAAATAATTTTTTCAATATACACGCAAACGCGAGGTTGATACCCAATAAAAAGGCACTGAATAAATATATTTATCTTCATTTCACAACCTAAGCAGACTCAACTCTGCTGCTCTCTGGACAGAGCCAGTTCCGGTTTATTGTCCCATAGACTCTCTCTACCCTTGTCAAGGCCCACATTTCTCATCATGCCTTGGCCTAATGCTGGAGTCATTTTTTAAGTTTGCTGTTGCGAAGCGCTAATGTTACTTTGTTTTAGTGTTTGTAATGTGTCTGTTTAGAACATGGTGGTTTAGGGTCATTTCTTATTTTTGTGCTGGTTTGTAGTTTTAGACACTATTGAGTTGGTTGTTACATTTCTTGACCCATTCGTCCATAAACTAGCATTTTACTGACGTGCTGTGACATTACTCTCCCAGTCCCGCTACTGCTGGCAATGGGATCGCATATCGGCAACCAGGATTTGACGTGTTGACAATAGAAACAATCTCACAACTCTAACCTTAAGTTGCTGTTTTTGCATTCAATGACTCAAGATTACCATCCCAACTTGATTGCACTAGCACTTTCTATTTGTTATACCTGCTCCTTACTACCATCCCTCACAGAAGCCAGTGCTTTATCTACCATAGTCTATTAAGTAGAGTTTGCACTTCTCTTCTGACTGAGAGCAGACTGTCCTGGCCAGCAGAATGTTAAACCTGTATCCCTACTTTACCTTAAAGGAATCAACATTAAGTTGCACTAGATGTCTATCTGAACAGTCAACTTCTGCAGAAAGACACAGCAAACCCAGGTCTTACACAGGCCTTACTTGCATCCATTGGATTAAATTTAATATGAGCAGTGGTCTTGTTGAAATTCACAGTATCACCCTGAAACCACCCCTTCAAGCCATGTCAGATCAATGGACTTCATCCCTCATCCGTCCACATGGCACTCAAAGCCTTTTCTGCCACCCAAATTACTGCTCTGCTGAATTATAACTTTGTTGGATCTGGCAGTGTACTGTACCCAAGGCATTCTGAAATATCACTGACAGACCGAGCTGTCAGCCCGGATATATCTATCACCTGGAGAGCTATGTGAAACAGACAGCTAATATCCAGGGGTCTTTTACAAAAGCGTTTGTCAAATTCTGGATCCGGACAGGAAGTTCCCAACAAACATTTCAAAGTCTGTTAGCCATTCACGCAAAGTCTGTTTTGACAATGAAATATTGTCCCACGTGGGTGTTGACATGCCAGTTTGTTGTGATACTGGCCTTATCGCTGTCATTTAGTCATGAAGTGCAGGTCTTAAAAGCCTATGTTTATGTTTGGATCAATTCAATTCACTTTATTGGCATGAGTGTAACTAACTTTTTGGATTGGTTAGCATTAGTAGGTTGTGAAAAAACAATTATTATTATTATTATTATTGTTGTTATTATTATTATTATTATTATTATTGTTACTAGTATCAGTCGAGTAAAGGTCTTGTGTGTATACATGTGATTTGCTCAGTGTTACACTTGGATGTCTCCATTCAGATTTCTATCTAAGTGTCAGTTCACTAAATAAAGAGACACAAAGTATATATCCTGTCCCCAGTGAATATTCACCCACACATCGACATATATCCGAGCCCTACGTGCATTAACTCTACATTCACACAGTATCTCAATGTCATCTACATGCTCCTCTCCCATTTTTTTTCCAAAATGAGAACAAAAATAGCTTTATTTTTAAATGTATGTTGTCATCTTTTTATTGGCAAAAAGTTTACAGGGAAAATGAAAAGAAAAATATTAGAGTGATAAAAAATTGGTGGTTTTGTAATGCAGTGTATGGTTATGCGATTCTATCATGGAATACATGGCACATACTAGATTACATTGCCCACTTTGCTGCAAAGACACTGTTTTTATGTCTAGGTAAAACATTAAGCTCAATGCAAGTTTAAACTGACAATAAGAAAAAGGTTCAGTAGATGACAAAGTTTCCTGACTGTAACTGTGATTGTAGGTTTCGTGCCTGGCCACACAGCTTGGCGACAGATACTATTTATCGGGCCAAGGGGAACCAGTGAAGAATAATTCTTAATTTGCTGTAAAGGTGAATTGAATTGGATGGCCATTTCAATGAACATAAATTTCCCTTAATGAGAAGAATGATATTTGGCTAGCTGTGTGTCCTCTGACATGTGGTCTTTTTTCATACTGGATATCCTTCACTCCCGGACAGCTGTTTATCCTCCCCGGTCCACTAGTAATGAGATGGATGCTTAGAAATGTATTAAGCTTGGCTACAGTTCCACTACATCAGCACAATCGTTCTGATTTGTGATTTTCTCTGCTGTCTTTTTTCTCCATCTTCTCATTCTTCCAAATCTTTTCTTCTTACTTTCATCTCTTGTTTGCCTCCCTGGCATCCATTCTCTCTCTCCAAACACCAATCATTTCCCTTCATACTCTCATTCCAACAGAAGTTGTGCAGCTGAGCCTGGCGGAGGACCAGCAGATCAGCGTCTCCACGGTAACAGTGGGCCTCAGTGCCGTCCTCACCTGTGCTATCCAGGGGACGCTGCGCCCGCCAATCATCTGGAAGAGGAACGGCATTATACTAAACTTCTTGGACCTGGAGGATATCAATGTGAGTGCATGTTGTTCTTCATCATATGAAGCTGCAGTTTGTTGCTGTTGGTGATTGTGGGGAGTTGATGGTGTTAATAGCTATAGAATTTGATTGGTTGTCACAAATACAAATGCAAATACACAAATACATGCCGTGCCTCGTGAACAACTCATGTTGCTTAGTTGTTACTGGTTCATAAGCAGTTTTTCGAAATAAAATTAAAAAAACAGAAAACGTTGCTATTGTGATAGTATCATGATACTATACTGTTAAAGCAGTGTTGATATTGGGCCACACTGAGCAGAAGAACTCCAAAACAATCCGATAGACATAGTCCTGACATATTTAAGCTGTCATGGCTTTTAGCAATGGCCTACTTACAAATCAGAAGATGCAGCATTATAATGTAATTGGGATTGTGTCTAAATCTCCTTTTTTTGTTGTGTTTCTACTATATACAGAGAAAATACCTGACTGTTTAGTTGCTAGATGTTCAATTCTGATCCCCAGCAAGATTTATGTTGTGATCCTGAGTAGAACCCCCCCCCCAAAAAAAAAGAAATGTGTGAAACCCAATTTCCCAACAGTGTGCATGCTTAGCACACACACACACCCTTAGGTGTGTGTGTGTGTGTGTGTGTGTGTAGGTGTGTAGGTGTGTTTGTTTTCAAAATGGTTCTTTCTAAAACTTTCATTGGACCTGCTGATTAAAATGTATTATTATTGATGTTTATAACCTGCAGCACCAAGTGGGCACAGTCGAGGGCTGTTTGAATCGACTGAAAACAAGTAGTCTATTAACACCTTTTTTTAGATCAAAAAAAGTCACATTACTGCTTTTAAAGTGTTTAGAGATCTGGGAGTTTGTTTGTTAATTTATAATCATGATCACATTGTTCCTTTTTTGGATTTCTCCTCAGTTTAGAGCACTCATAAAATTCTGTTGAGATCTCATGAGGTGTGCCAAGAATCCAACTTCCTGATTTAAAAAAAGACTCTCACTGGTGTACCCTGATAATCAACCGTGCACAGGGTTCCACGCAGACCTTCACAGACGCAAATTCACCTTATGTGGATCCTCCACGCTGCGTGGACACCGAAAACCATGAATTGCCCTTAAGCAAGAGAGGGCGCGAGGAAGGAAGGGAGTCAGGAAAACAGCAGCATGAAAGAAAATTCAAGGATCAAACAAAAAGAAAAGTTTTACTAGCCAAAATGCACTCCCCAGCCCTCTGTAGAATTACAAAAAAAACCAACAGCAACTATAGCTTGCTCAGTGCTTAATGAACTATGTGGCCCTGCTCCTGTTAAGACACATCTGCTCAGGTGACAGCACAGCGCCGGCCTTTGCTTTACCCACCACCAGATCACAATTCACTAATTGCATGTTAATGAGCGGCCTTGTTGGTCTGCTGTGGTGATGAGCTGATAAACAATGTCAAGTGTTAAGGTGGAGACTGGAGGAAAAGTGATGGCAGCAGAGGTCCCTCAGGCTCTTGACCGTGCATAATGAATTTCCACAGAACCCAGTGATGTGATGTGAGGGGAGGAGGGAGAGAGAAGCCATGTCTGTGTTTTGATTTTCTTCTCAGTCAAATCAAAGAGGAAACTAGAAACCCCTAAACTAATGAGACATAACCTCAGTACAAATTTCTTTATAAGTGTATTAATGTCTGTGTACGCTGGATGTCGATGCAAGAACAAAAAAAGAGAAAGAACAAAAAAAAACATATTTAAAGGAATATTTCAGTTTCTTGTCTCCCCTTAGTCACTTAAGCGAGTTCAGATAACTTTCTCTTATACAACAGATTTAGTTTTTTAATAGACTTCCTGGCTAAATAAAGGATAAATATGCCATTAAGTAATGAGAATATAGATAAACCAATAGATTAAGTCCGTCCAGAGGAGGATAAACATCCAAGTAGGAGCTTGGATTTATATTTCATATGGGTGTAATGCATGTTTCATTTTAGAAATAAGAAATAAATCTGCTTGCCATATAAGCAGTACATCAATAATTTGTCAAGTGCATGTTATATGTGTTAATATATGAACTGCGTTTATAGCACGTGAAGGATTTTAAAAGCATAGTTTTTAAAGTGTGGTTGTCAGACAGGCCTTTCCAGTGGCACGGTGCATTACGCCACAGATCAGCTGTTTGGACCGGAATTACAGAGGTTTATGGGAGAGAAAGCAATTACAACACAACAAAACAAAGATAAGTTGCAAATTTTTCACAGTACTTTAAAAAGTTGGTCGACAGCAATCCAGTAGACTCACATAACATGACTCTACACTATATTACTATGATAAATCTATGAAACCTCATCTGTTATAATAAAATTGCACCAACATAAGTAAAATAATTCATATTAGGTTAAAGATGAGACAGGTTGAGATAAGAGAGGGGACCTTGCTTTCCTCCATCTATGCATTAGCTATACCCACTTATCCTTTAGAGGGTTTAGAGGGCTAAAGTGGATCCCAGCTGACATTGAGCGAGAGGCGAGGAACACCCCGGACAGGTTGTCAGTCAATCACTTTCATGTCAAAGTCCTTTCAGCACACTGTTTTGTTCTGTTCACCTGGGTTGAATGAAAGTAGGTTTGTTTTTAGAAGTTTCATTCGACAATGGTTGAACATTTTCTCCACTCTGGCATATAACCCCCTCAACTCGAGAGCTGAGCCTCCATTACAGTCAGTCTCATTTGTCTGCTCTCTCATAATCTCTTTCTGGCCCTTGTTCACCCTCTGCTGTCTTTCTTCTCCACCCATCTGTTTTAATTGTGTTTATTTCTCTCTGTTTTTCACTCTCAATCAAAGTGGGTATTTTTTCATTAGAGCTGTGTTCTCCAAAAAGTAACCTCACTGTGTATATTGCAGGGTTCAGACCTTTTTCGCCAGGTGTGTTTGCATTGGAGCAAAAAGACACAGGCAGTATTACAAACAGGAACAGATTGAACAATAGTATAATCTGCTACAGCTGCTAATACTGTAACTACTGCCATCCACCAGCACTCAAAAAATAAATATATAATGCATATTTTGTTGATTAAAAACAATTACTACACAGCTAACTATATTTGCATGTACATTGTCACTAGTTGGTACATAAGCATACATAAAATGAACATGGCTCTTTAGTATATGCAGCTGATGTTTTTGCATCAATACTATTCTGTGTGTTATTAAAAAAAAGCAAAGATGACTTTTCTATTGGAGAGTAGGTCAAAAAAGGCCTTAATGTAGTTTTCCATATGAAAAGCAATACTTCAATAACTACTTACATTTTTGTAATTTTAATGTAGCCACTGGCCATCTCCATGTATAATCCTTCCACTGCTCTTGTGTTACAAAAGCATATAATTTGACTTAATGCCTGTAATTTTCTCCAGTTCTTTTCAGTTTCTTTGTCTGTGTACCATCAGTGCATTTCATGAGCTCAAAAGTTCTATTCCCTTATGTTAGGAGGATTTTCCATTTACATTCATATTTTCTTAGTCACTAATGACACCAAGCAAATAGACACAATGCAGGTGCAGTGATCTGAGTGAAAGACATGTTTTTGCCTTTTTGATGCTAGGGTTTCTGAGTGGCCAGGTTCAGTTTAAGAACATACTGATCATTATTACTGATTGTTTTTTTTCATCAATACACCTTATAATCATGAGATTGACTCTATTATTCATGGCCTCTGCCCAGTTAGACTGCAGTCAGTCACTACAGCCTTATGGTTTACCTGTAAGACTAACATTTTAGTGCCTTTGATTATCATATGTGACATGAAAACATTAGTGAAAGAAATAGAACCCTTCTCATGCTTCTCTGTTTCAATTACAGATTGGTTTAAAGTTTAACCTGCTAGCTATATCACATTTTTTTTTAGCCCAAATGGTCCATTCAGTTTTAATTGCCCCCAGTGGTGTAGTTATATTTCTCACCTTAATTGTAAAATCTGAACTTTAAAGGCTGCCTAAACTCCCTGTCTTTCTCACAAGAAAATCATTTCACTTTTTCCTGTCACAAAGCGACCCTCTGTCAGGTCATATTAATTTCTAGAGCTCTCAGAACGAAAAAGCAGTCGTTTGTGGTTTCCATGTCACGACAGAGCTGCATCAGGACATCTGCTCTGCCACTTGGTGGGACAGCAAACTATTTAATGCCTTAATCCGCCCTAAGCTGTGGCTGGAACCCCCTGGTGACTGCCGCATGCTGCACCAACAACAACCAGCTACATTTATCAACCTAATGGGCTTTATATTTTTAACCCTTGCCATTTATCAGGCTGAGGCAGCGTGATGAGGGGAGAGAGGAGGATCAAATTCCCTAACGCCTGCTTCAGCTCAACAGGGAAACCGTTGATTCATGGTCTCTCTTCCTTTTCACATCACTCTTTTTCTCTCTTGTCTTTTCCCATCACTCCCTGCTGTTGTGTGCCTCCTCTCCCCACTCTCTCCAAGCATCCTCCTGTATTCTATCAAGCTACCTTCATTTCTCCCTCACTCCCCATGGCTCTTTCCTGCCCCCCATTCTTCACCACTATTCCCTCTCCTACACCTCCTGTTTTTCCCCTCCCTTCTTTCCTCATCTTCTTCCTCTCTCCCTCTTCCCCTTATCTTGTGCTCATTCACCACCTCCGCCTCTTCTTTACTTAATTTCCCTCTTCCATGTCTTCCATGTGTTACAGGACTTTGGGGACGATGGCTCCCTTTACATCACCAAGGTGACAACCATCCACATGGGGAACTACAGTTGCCATGCCTACGGCTATGAAGACCTCTCTCAGACACATGTGCTGCAGGTGAATGGTCAGTAGTGGCTCATTTCTTACTTACAGTGGTGGGAGAAGCGTGGAAAAAATGTTTTAGTTTTGTTTGTGCTGCTCTGTGGTTCCCTTGTTAGGGGAATTTTCTTATTCCCTACCCGTCATATACAGGGATGAACAGTCTCAAAGACAATTCAGCCAACATGCTGATGATTGAAATGTCTATAAATGTCTATACATTAAGAGTGGCATTGTCATATGGCAGTGGTTTCCAACCTTTTTTGTCCAGCATACTCACACAGCCCTTTCAGTGGTTCAAATATAAATATAAGGTCACAACATCAAGAAACACGTAAGAGTTTCTGTTTGTCTTTTCGGAGACTTCCTGAGAGACTGAACAATGGGTTGAAGGCTTCTCTACCACTACAGATTTTCAGCAATCAAATGCTACCATGACACATTTGACTGTTTGTTCCCTTTTATGCAGTGCAAGGAATCACTGGGGTTGCCAGATGAGCTGCAGTGTTAATTCACTATATAAATAATTTACTGTGAATAAGTGAATAAACTAAATGTCGCTTTACACTTAGTAACAGATGTTATCTATTGTCTTGTGTTTTAATGGATGTGCATTATTTAAGGTCTGCAACATTACTTTAATTATTGATTAATCTGTCTAGTAATTGATTATTTGTTTTGTCCATAAAATGCTCATTATACTTACCCAGAACTTAGATGATGTCTTTAAATGTCTTGTGTCTGACCAGCACTCAATAAACCCAAAGATATTAATTTTCTATTATATATGAGAGAGAAACACATCAAGTGAACCAGCAAAAGTTTAGTGACAGTTTGACAACAACTATTAGATTACCAAAGTAGTTGCAGATTAAGTTTGTTGATCAACTCTATTATATATCTATTATTTAGATTTTCCTTTATTATTATACATACCTGGTAAGCTACCAGAGTGCCCAGGAGTTTCTTTATTATGAAGTTGCTTGTTTCCCTACAGATAAAAAGTATCCATAAAGATGTGTTGTTCATACAAGTGGTTTACAGGATCACAGCTATCAAAGTGACATCATGCAAAATGACATCATTGCATACATGGGGCTCAAAACTAATGATATGTGCATGAAGGGAATATTCACTTGATTAAAAGCAGTGGATAAAAGCTACTTAAGCTAAAATACATCCAAAAACCAGCAGACAGTACACTCTGATTTTGGCAGGCCGGACATATCAAGCACTGTCTGGCTCATAAATCATCTTCATAAGGGTCTTCCTCTCCCCCACATTTAGACTTGAGAGTTATTACTTGGCATCTCTACAAAGAAAATCCAGGGAGGAAGAAGTTTAAAAGCCCCCCCCCCACCTGCAACATAACAAATCAAAGATACAGCCTCTTTCTTATTTCTGTGCTTTTGTCTCAGCGTGGCAACGGAAGGGGGGAATGTATTCAGTTAAGTCTCTTTCAATTACGCGGGACAATAGGTGTGATTGTTTTGTTTTTCTGAGATGCTAATTGAAAATTAAAATGCAGCTGCATTTTAGACCTTGAAAAAAAAGACTGAGATGCGGTAATCGGAAGAGAGTCATGGAGACAGACTAAGGTCCTGAAGGGCAAGTTATCAGGCGACGCAATTACCAAATGTTTGTGTAAGGGTTTCAAGGTATTTCAACCGAGATAGGACGAGGTGAGATAAGGTGGAATGGAAGGGAGCCAAGTGCCACATTAAAGTAAGTGGACGGTTTGCATCATGTGGTTTTAAAGCAATAACACCCATACTTCTTTTTTTTACTGTGATGAGAGGAACGACAGAGCTTCAGTATCATTGAAGTACCCATAGTTGCAGTGTAGTACTCTAGAATATGGTACCAATGCTGTTGAAGAACATTTCTGCAATGTCAAGCACATATGTAATATTATAACTCATTGTAGCAAAACAGAACAAGTGATACAACAGATCAGAGACTTTTAGAGAGGCTGAATTTGAGGAATAGGTGTGAGTAGAATTACTTGTGTAAGTGTAGTGTGTTTATGTGTGTGTGTGTAGGAAGAGAAGATTGGTAGTTATTTTGTTATTATGTGTGTATGAGTCCATGGACCAAAAAACAGTCAGTCTTTAATTGGCAGTTTATCTGATCTACCAACCAGCACTTATTTTAGTGAGAAATCACCCCAAACCCACTGTCTTCTCCCACTTAGCGCAGCGAACCAAAAGGAGGCTCATGAATTGAGGCAACAAAATGTACGGAAGCACCATTTATTTTCATGGATTATACTGATGCCAAATTGTCAATGTCAACATATAATACACTTTTTCTAGAGTATGAGTTTTTACGGATACATATTTCTTAAAGGGAGTGGTGTAATATTTAATAATAATGATGCTGTAATAGAGAGCACACAAAGCTTTTCAAAGGGCTGTATATATTTAAGGTTTAAGGTTTTGTCACCACTATAGAAACACTAAAATATGAGAAGGCTGACTGATGTTGAGTGCTGGTACTTATTGGTTTGATTAATGGTTTAATAATTTGTGTGTGCATTGATACTGATGGTGGCTGATCAGGCTAATTATCATCTAATTGTACAGTTGTTTTCTAATGGCAGTATGCAGTAAGTGGTTACCCTTTTGTCTGCGCTTATCTGTCACACACTGCTGAAAGTGCAGAACAAAATGAAAAACTAAGACTTGCTGCCATAGTCCTGCACCCCCACTTTGACTAGGTGCCCATGATTCCTATTACATTGTTCATAAAGCTAATGCGAAGTTCACCACGGGCTTGATCGCATAAGCAAACTGCAATACCGCTATGTAACCAGCAGGAAAATCACTTATGTCAAGTCTAGCCTTTGCTGAGGTATAAGATCATTTCCATTTTAGTAGGATTTAGTGGCATCTATCAGTTGAAGTTTCAGATTGCAACTAACTGAACACCGCTGGCGTCTGTATTTGACAACCTTGGAATGAGAACAGGCTGTGAAGTGGCCCTACCTACATTTCGTTTGTCTCTTCTGGGCTACTGTAGAAACATGGAGGTTCAACCTGGCAGACTCTGCGGAAGGCAACCCCTCCCCCAAGTCTGTAAATAGCTCATTCTAATGTAACACAAACATAACTATTCCTGTTACATACTTGACTTTTTAGCGTAAGGTTTTATAAATAAATCTTTGCTTTTGTGTAACATACTGGATATCTTGTAACTCTTTGACCCTCACTCAGTCATGAAATAAGAAGTTTCAAATAAGAAGTACCTTCTGACATCTAAAAAATGGCAAAGAGCTCAAACTGTTTTATGTGTAGGGTTGGAAACCACTGGTTTAATCTTTACCAATGCATTATATTCTATAAGCTTATTTCAATGTAAATCTTAGTCTGAAAAGTAAGTAAGTAATTAAAAATGCATAATAAAATTAATAATAATGGGGTGAAAGAGAAAGCTTAGGAAAGAAACAATCAAAGACAAAAAGGAAGCAAGCAACAGACGAAATATTCAGGGTATTAATATTAGGGTACAGGGGCAAAGTTGTGAGTTGAATGGGAGGGGTGAGGATTTAACATCAAGGCTGAGATGGTGCCCAGCATCACAACCAGAAAAGCAACATCTTACCTGCTCATGTAAACTATTACCTCATATTTCACTTTCCCCCTCGCTTCCTCCGCATTAATTTGCGGCCTTCTTCCCGGAGGAGGTGGTAAGTGGTAGATACGACCAACATCTATTTCATGGAGGACTCGAGCTGTAATAAAGCAACCCCAGAGCTCTTGGATTCTTGTTATGTGTGAATATATTCCATGCTGGGGTGAGACAAATTCCTCTCTGCCCACTGCGTGTGTGGGTGTTTGTGTTATATTCCCCCAGGAGTTACGGTCTACCATGAAACAGTGTGTAATTATGTTTTCACTCGCTCCTCTCCTTTCTCCTTGTTTGTGTCTTCGTTTTTGTTTGTGTTTGTGCGTCCAGTCCCTCCAGTGATCCTGGTCTATCCAGAGACGCAGGCCCAGGAGCCTGGTGTATCTGCCAGCCTCCACTGCCATGCTGACGGCATCCCAAATCCCAAACTCCTCTGGCTGAAGAACGGCATGGACCTGCAGCCCAGATCCTCCAAACAGCTCTCTCTCATAGGTGAGGAGTGTTCAAGTGCTGTCAGCATAATATACGTTTTAGCATATACTGTTTGTCACATTGTGTTGGTGCAGTGTTTTTCAGTTGCACAGTGTTACATACCAAAAGCATTGCAGTATGCCAACACTGCAGAAATCTTTATACACCAAGACAATTCATGTGGACAAACAAAACAAAGCTTTAAAATCAAGCTGATGTGCAGTCAACCTAACTCCTTTTTATTGAAAACTCTTGTCAGCAGTATTATTTTGTTTAGCTTTCCACCTGAATTCCATACCAAGGTGATGAAACCAAGATCACCCTCTTCAGCTGTCTTCATTCTGCTTCTCCGACAACATAAACACACTTATTCTTTAGAAGTGAATGAAAAAGGAGATTAAGCGAGTGAAGATAAAATGAAATATACTGTGAGTCAGGAGATGGCAGCTACTTATCCAGGGTAGAAGAGGGATTTTAAAGACACACACTCAATATTGGAAAGAAGGAGAGCAGGATGGAGAAGGACTTTTCTTTTTATGGCCTAGTTCTCATTAAGGGAGAGTTTATTGGCTGTGTGTGGGCCATTACCTGTGGTAATAGCCTGTTATCAACCCTCAGACACTCAAACATGGGAGGTTCTGTAAGGTTCACCAACACATAAACACTGCAGCGACTACGGTTTCAGATTTGCCAACTAATGTGGGCAGTGGCAAGGGGCAGGAGTCCTACTTACAGAGATAATTTGTGTTATTTTCATGAAAAATATTTTGAAAGTGAAAAGAATAGAGTGGAAAAGTAGATTAAGTAGTGTAGATTACCATTTTTATTTCGCCATGCTTTAAAAAAGAAATCAAAGCACAAAGAGGAGGTGTGATTTGCTATTTAATTTCCATATATTGCTTTTAATGTCAGGAGTGCAATAAAGACATTGTAAAAGTGCTGCCTCTATCCTCATATTTGTCTTCTGTAAAATCTGAACCACACACTGACAGATGATAGTGAGGAGTATTGATTGGAGGCCACAGGTGAACAGTAAAGAGAGAAACTGCTTTGGGTTGCTGAGTGAATGAAACCGCTTTCTGGAGCTGTCCACGGTGCTGAAACCACTTGAGCCTCTTGTAGATCTTTGCCTGATAATCCCTGTTGTTTAGTTTGTTATAGAGCAAACCTCTTAACACAGCTACAGGGACATCTTGACGTGAAACATTATAGATCATTTTTCTGACCCAGATGCATTGTGGGAAGAATAAGTTGTTGTTTTTTTTTCCTCAGATCAGTTAAACAAGCTCATTGTCACTATAATCACATCTCTTGTTAATCAAGGGTAATATATGGCTGCAAACTGCATTTGTAGCCAGTAAATGAAAACTGTGAGCTAAATGTCTTTGACTTGTTTAGTAGTAATTGTACGGCCACAGAGGAAATCATACGTCAAGTAGCAGCATGGATGGATTATCATGACCATGTGTAGCCTCTCCCAGAAAAGGAATTGGGTGCACAATAGCACACGGTCATTTAATACCTCATGTATAATGTTGTAAATGTGTTGATTATTTTCCTGACAGGAAGCGTCAGATAATGTAGAGTAGAGATAGCACAGGCACAACTCAGTTTATGATCCTGTCTGTTTTTTTCTTTTTTTAACTTAACACTTTGCTGACTGGCTCGGAGAAGGATTTACTGTTTTACAAAGAGGTTGACTATACAGCTAAAAACAAGCTTACAACACATAGGGTGATAAAAACATCAGCAACATTCTGTGCCCAGCTCCAACAAATGGGCTTTTCTGTTTTTGTTATGGTAGTCTCTGTCCAACATAACATAAAAGTCAGGTTAGACAGACACGGCCAGAACATGCTTCTCCTTCATTTTCCTGGTTACAAGGGGGACTAGTCCCATACCACATAATATATGACTGGTTCCATGAAAAGGAGCTTAAGTGATGATTTTTAACCAGAAGTGCACAGTGCAACCACACAAAAAAGTTGGAACACTCAAGGCAAAAAGGTTAAAAGGCCCCCATTGACTCCTAGGCACAGTCCCTTTTCGCGGTTCATAATTCAAGACAGTCATAATTTAAGACAAATCCCTCAAACTCAAAATCCCTGTCTTCATAAACTGCTACAAGCTTGCATAGTATGGATATAAAGACTAATTTAATGAGTGGTTGATTCAATGGTTTTCAATAAGAATTGATCAGAACATAATTATGAATTAGACGTAATTAGAGTGGTGTCTCATTCTATGAAGGCCTGCTTCAAGGCTTCAGTTTTCACTTCAAAGCATTACACATTTTTCCCCTGATAAAAGAGAATTATTATCAGAATCCAAAAGACATTTCACTAATATGAAAATCTTTGCGTCAACTTCTGTAATGTCTTGTTATTTTACAACCCAGTAGGCATGGATGAGAAGGTAGAGATAATTTTCAACCTAAAAATGAGAAAAGCTTGTTTTTTTTGCAAGTGTGCACTTTATTGCTGTTTGGTAAATATTTGGTCCTGCAGGAAGACAAACACTCAGAGAAAAGGTAGAGTGTAAACTTTAGATGCTGTAGATACTTTAAGAGATATACAGAAAGGGAAGGGAAACAGAAGCTTCCTTTTATGTTCACAGATGACATGGCCTGTAAGAGCACCACTGTGACACACACACACATCATTCAATCTCTCCATGCTGTAGAGTGTGTGGTGTTGTGTTCAGTGTAGTGCTACATACAGTACAGGAAGGATCAGAGTGCAGCTGTACATCACAGAGCTTGATGCTACAGAAAACATCACAGGGTCTGCCTCTGACAATGACCTCAGTGTCTCAACACGGTCAATATCACCTGTCAACTCCATCTAACATCCCTACTGCATCTTGAGGCAAACAATGTAGCACTGTATATTATGTGGGGGGGATATAAGTGTGATACTAGATTTTGCTCATGTTCTGAAAGACAAATAGAGTTTATAAAGTGTTTTACTGAGCAGCAACACATTCAGCAGCTGTGGGAAGGTAATACCAGTTGAAAACCTAAGTGTTACTTTACTTGTGTGTCTTATAATTCAACAATACTCCGTCTTAAAAGAACACGTTAATCAACCACACCGAAAAAGAGCCTTTTTACGTTGTTATAGTTCAATCATGTTAATGGCTGATGAGTCAGCAAGACTTTGCTTTTATCACATTTCAGAGATAGCTGGATAGAGACTATGACAAAAAATAATCTGATATAGCACATGCTGTGACAACATTTCAGGTTTCGCTACTTTGAAGGAGACGTTAATATTCAACGGCACAAGATTAATCAATATTTGCACCACATTTATTTTGTTACCAACACCAAAACAGGAGCATGATATATTTGTGTGTGCCATTGCAGTTGTTTACTTTCTCAAACGTTTATGTCTTCTCAGGAAGAATTTCTCTTCCATCATTATTTATTTCCTTTTACTTTATTTGTGGTTTCTGCTGGATATCAGGTCACGCCATCTGTATGCAACAGCTTTTTATCACGCTCAACTGTCAACACTTGTTTCTTTTCCTTTTGTTTCCTCTCTTCCTGTAGCAAATGGTAGTGAGCTCTTTATTGGCAGTGTCCGGTACGAGGACACTGGAGCCTATACCTGCATCGCCAAGAACGAGGTGGGAGTGGACGAGGACATCTCCTCTCTGTTTGTTGAAGATTCGGCCAAGAAGACCCGTAAGTTGTCAAATTTCACCTTTCACTGTAAAAAGTAAAAACATGTAAATTCACAATAAGATTTAAACCATATCTCAATCAAAGATAATGCACAAAAGAAGTATGAAGGGATTACATATAAAAAGAGATTTTATATGATTTTGCATGCTGGTGTAAGTCTTACTGTCGCCACTTAATTACTAAATGTGTAACTGGCAACCATAGCATTAGGGCTGTAGCGATACACTAATCTTACGATACGATACACGATATTCAGCTCACGATATGATATATATCACGATATTCAGCCAACGATACGATTCGATAAACTTACATCATTTTCTGAAAGATTTTAAAGGGACAGTGTGATTTTGGTGACATCTTGTGAGTGTTCCATTGACTTGGATTGAATTAATTGAAGTGAAAACTGAAAGCATCAATTACACAATATATGGCTCTGACTGGACAGAGAGTCTACAGCTTGCAAATGCTGGACAAAATGAATCAAAGAGGTTGGTGGTATTTCCAGAGTATTTCACGTTTGTGTGACACAGCTTGCAAACCGGCAGACTTTTATCTAAATCATCGCTTTGCTTCTTCTTTTTAAACCCAAAGTGCTCCCACACATCTGCTTTTAAGCATGAAGGTGCTGGATTTATATTCGCCGCCATTCTCTTGAATCTCCTCGCTCTGACTGCATAAACAGGAAGAGGAAGACGTTGGCGTCTGTGTAAAGGGAGTATCTAGACGGGTAACGTGCTAGAAATGCTCTACAGCGACACTGGCTGACCTAATCGCTCTTCCTGCAAAGTGAACGGGGTGAAATGGGCAGCGAGCAGAGTGCTAGGCAGGATTTGAATGGGACTTTATGTATCGACACTCGCAGCTGAAAAATCAGGGGAAACAAAATATCGATATATATCGCAGGACCGATAAAATTGCTCAGCCTTACATAGCATTAACATTCCCTGTGAAAAACAGCCTTTACAAATGTCACATGTATCTCCTGCATTATTATTGCAGTAAAAAGCACAAAAATCGCTTTATGTCAAATGACTGTCAGGTGATTCCTTGTGCCTTCAGATAGCTGGATAAACTAAGGAAATGTTAACACCCCTGACAGCTGTTGATATTAGACTGACAGTGAAGCTGAAGTGCAGCACATTTGCAGTTAAGAGTAAGCGCAATTGCACCTATGAGCCTGTCCTCTATTATAATAATGCTGAGATCAGACTACGCAATATCAGCTTCATGATGTCCCATCGCAACAGACATGGGGCGTACAGGCAGCGCCCACCCGTAACTCAAAGCGGCCATGCCCTTAATTATGCATTACTTTAAACCTTAATGTAATTTAAACAGGTAAGTTATATGAAAGAAATCACCAATTTCTTTTTATAGTGGGGGACCACTGATGCAGCATTTAGGACAGTTCCCATCTGGACTAAAAGAATAGCATGTCAGTTTTCCACAGCAAGAATTCAACACCTGATCAGACACAGGGACCACCTCAAATGACAAAAACATTTGTGTAGTCTGATTCCAGTACACAAAATGGACGAATGTATGAAACTGTACAGGTCAGGAGATGGGTAGAAGATGGCACTTAGATCTGACTCAAAAAATAAGAATTCTGAATATCATCCAAATTTTCACGTGTGTGTGTGTTTAAGGAAACACTGAAAAAGGTTAGACACAAGCGCAATCACTGAAGAAGACCACTTATTTTGGGAATTTATGTACTGTGTTTCACATACAACACATATATTCCCAAAACAAGTGGCTTATTTGTATTTCATACTGCAAAAGAATCAGTGGATCAGTCACTATATTCTCTATTCTGACTCTGGGCATTGCAGGATGCTCCACTCAGTTTTCTATAGCGAGCTCACTGAAATACAAAGATCAAATCAAGATCAAAAATCAAATTACATATTTTATGTTTCTTTGTTATGTGGTCTTTCATTAGATTGCATCATTTTGATGAGTTCACCATCTATACCCAGAAAGAGCTTTATCGGGCCAGCTGAAATTAATCAGAATAATCAATGACTTGTCCTTTCTCAAGAAAGGAGTAATCTCTTGATTTAGGAGGAAATATGGTACTATAAAGTGAGGAGCATTTTGTAGCTGTCAAATATGTTTTGTCTTGTCATGAGAGAAATCACCTCCTCTGTTTCTTGGAAGATCTGTCTTTTTCCTTAAGGTGATTTAATATTTTTCCTCTCTTTTTTTCCCTCCGCTTCTCCTTTCTATTGCTCGCTGGCTGACTCTGCAGTTGCAAACATTCTGTGGAGAGAAGAAGGTAATACATTACAGTTCTCAAAGTGCTTTTGTATTCTTGTGAATAAGAAAACATGGTATACGGCTTTTCAAGGCCTGCAGCTGGATATCTACACTCTCCAAGATTTTGCTGTACTGTCCAGAAGAATCACAAAGTTGTTTTCTCTCCAGCAGAACTTTACTTCAGGATCTCACTTTATTCCTTGGGTGTCCAAGGTGTTTCATCTTTTTGATGGTGTGCTTTCTAATCTGTTTTCAGATCACCTGGGGAGGAAACATTTACACACAAGCGGGATTTTTATGCATTTTGCAAATAAAACCACAGACGCAGCGTGGTGGCTACAAGAAAAACAACTTTGTGGTTTTCAGCAGTATACAAATCCATCCTGTTTTTATACTATATGTATTTTTTACCACATCAGCATGGCCACAAGTACAGTTTCACTACTGACTGGAAAACCCACTGCGGTTTATAGTACAATACAAATATAATCTGTTTTATATACATCATTACCACATGAGGTTTACCACAGAACCAAAAGAAGCCAGAGTGTTTTAGAATGCAGTGTAAGCATTTGGATTATATGTGAGTGTTCATCAGCACTTATTTAGCCTCATTAACACAGTATGTGTGTATCTGTGTTTGTACATATGTCTATATTCTGCTGTATATTTCAAATTTTTTTGACAAGGCGTTTCTGAGCTTTGAGGATTCCTCATTCTCTGGTGCTTCATGTTTTATGTCACAGTGTCATAGTACAAAAGTCTCAACAGCCTGACATATCAATCATCATAGTTTTTGTCTATGCGTGCATCTTCTAAATGTTTATGCATGCCAAAAGTATGGATATGTGCTCATGCTTATCGTATGCTCATTTGATGTATTCCTGACAGCAGTAATAGCTTGTTGGTCATCCAAATGCCTTAACACCAGAGTATGATCCTTGCTAACTCATCAGCAGCTGTTTACACAGAGCAGACAACATGTGAAATGTTTCCTCTTGAAGACAGTGCCTTTATTTGATGCCTCTTGCTACAGTATGTTGTTTACATGTTGCTGACAGGACTCTTTGTAGGCATTGTCAAAACGTCTGGCAGTCACACACTGCCCATCCCCATAACATGATAGCATGCTAACAGGAGTCTTGCTGCGTCTCCTCCAGCAGGGAAATTGAAATGCCCATCACAAATGTCAGATAAGATGGGAGCGGGATTTTCTGCTGTTTTTAATTTGCATTTGTTTGATTTTTAAAGCATGTTTGTCAATATTTTTCTGTCTTCCTGTCTTCTCTTCCAGGGTTGAGTGTGGGGAATATGTTCTATGTGTTTTCTGATGAGGGCATCACTGTTCTGCAGCCCAGTGAATGTGAGATACGCAGACACATGAAGCGGACAGAGAGGATTGTTGCTACCTATGTAAGTGTATGTTATGTGTTTTTTTTTTCCTATTGAGATTTAATGGTGAGATTACAGTACATTAAAAAAAATGGCCATGTCAGGTAATGAGTGTTTTCTCCATGATTCACTAAATGGATTTCAGTTTGGGGGTGATTGTAACTGCTGAGCTGATGCCTTTTAAAATCAAATTATGTGCAAGGTAGAAAGATGTCACGTAGTGTTTGTTTTTACATTAAGAAAGCGATGCACTCATACAGTGACGACATATCAGGTACATATCAGCTACACTGCTAAGAGCATCTTACTCCCAGTCAGTAATAGGTCTAAATTAAGTCTTAATTAGGCTTTTGTGGCATAATCCAAACAAGCACTGCAAGGTACCAGGTGTTGTGTTTTTCAACAGAAAAATAATTATCCATTAGAATCATAAGGTTTTCTCCCTAAAATCCCAGCTCAGCTCACTGACACAAAAATAAACACAAATAAACATCGAGCCCTCTCAATCTTCACTCTATCCATCCATCCATCCATCCATCAGGAATCAAGTTACTTACCTGTGATCCAATCCAGTCATTTAGTCTGAGTATCTGCCGATACGGAGTCCTGATCCTTGTATTTTCTTCGATAAGACAGGTGCACAATACACATTTAAAGTGTGTTAAACTTAAAATCAACCCAGTATATATGCTTGACAATTGAATATCTTTTTCTTTTTCTTTTTTTCACAAAATAACCAACTAAAAATACCTTTACAAAATTCCACTTAGTGCAGTCTTGGTTTTCATTTGATTTGGTCAAGTAAACAAATTAAAAGAAATCTTTTTTTAAATATCACTTGCAGTAAAATAGAACACTCGAAATGAATAACATAGTCACAACAAAACAAACCGCTCAAGGCAGCAGTAGACTACTTTTGTTGTCTGTGGAGTCTGGTGGCTTTGAACAGAGCTATATAATGAATGTTTCTGGTTAAACAAAATGGATCTTAATTTCAACAGGTCTATCACTGTAGGGGATCCTGTCCTTAATGCTGTCAGAAACTTAATCAATAACAATCCTAGCCTGTCAGTACAAGGATTACTGTGCAGCCATTGCAGCCTGTGTAATTCCAAAACTTTGTATACCCTTTAAAACAATGGGTCGGGCTTAGATCTGCGCTCAATATAATGGTTAAAATATACTGATCCCAGAGATCAGACTGGGACATCTTATTCTATACTAGAGATTTAGTGTGAAAGGAAATTGCCACCAAAACAAAGGCCATCCTTCCTTTTCTCCTCCTTCCTGGTGTCAGAGTGGGCTCCTCACCTCACTAATGTAATGGGATTACTTGTGTCCATTAGTCAACAGCTGCTCACATCAGTAGACTATAGAGTCTCTACTACAGACCCCAAGGCTTTTAATCCACTGGAGAACATCCCTCTCCCAGAGAAATGGGCTCTAGATGGTAAAAGTTGCTTGTTCCTCTGAGGGATTTGGGTTTTACAGACCCTGTAATTGTATTAGAGATCAATACAAACTCAATAACCCATGTGTTAGCCAGTTCCTGCTGTAAACAGCAGTTTCTCCACTTTGGAGAGGTGGAGAGGGGGTGGAAACTCTTTAAACACAACCTTTTTATGTGTGTGTGTGCACGTGCATTAGTAACATATGCGGAGTGTGTGTGTGTGTGTGTGTGTGTGTGTGTGTGTGTGTGTGTGTGTGTGTGTGTGTAAATGTCTTGTCAGCAAAGACTGCAGGGCCTGAAGAGGCAATGTGTTACTTGAGTCAGTAGTGTATATGAATGTGTTGATGTATGCTTCTTACTGATACAAAATCAAACACTGGTTTCTAAGTGAAACAGTCATAATGACTAATATTATAGCATAATAGTGAAGTATCATTGGAATGCATATGCACCTTTGTTATGGCTGGGATAATATGGTTGAAAAGTGAGCATTTGAGGATTTCTTTTAGTTTTATATCATTGATCTTTGGCTTTTGGACAAGAAATTCCAATGAGTCACCTTGGGTTCTGAGATTTTTCACCATTTTCTAAAATGTTATTGACCAAACCATTTAATCATTGATAAAAAAAAATCTATATATAGTTAAATCATTAGTGCAGCCCTAACCACAATATCAACTTAAAAAAGAAGTGATTACACCAGACAAAATTCTTCATGTTAAACAAACACTGCTCTTAGTTGTTCTTCATTATAGTTTGTTTTGAATAATTAATTTGACCAGAATTTAGTACAATGATACTATGTTATGATAAGAGTACAACTCCAATGAAAGTAAACAACCCACAATTTTGAACTATCACCCACATCATCATGGTTGAGACATGACAGAGTAATGCACCATACTGCTGATCTATGATGCACCAGGAAATCCTGCCAACCCTTTCCTCCTTCTGTTGCTCTCCTCCTCCCATCACCCTCTCTGTTCTCTGTTGGTTCTTCCCAGGAGGAGATGTGCCCTAAAGGTGAGGGGGTGTCACCCCAGCACTGCGTGTGGTCCTCAGCAGTCAACATCAGGGATAAGTACATCTACGTGACCCAGCCCCTCCTGAGCCGACTGCTGGTTGTCGACATTCAAGCACAGAAGGTGGTGCAGGTGGGTGGAGCAGGTATCAGGGCTGTCGACACATACCAAGTAGACATAAGTATAGTCTCAGAACGTCTCAGAAATGATTCATCTATGAGTTAGTGACATTATAAAGCTTGTGTAGAAAACTTTGAATTTTAGCAAAGTTAAGTGTTAACAAAGGTTCAGCAGTAATGTCAAATGAAAAAAGTCAAATGAAAAAAGATGACAGATAAAGTCTAGGTTTAAACATAATAATAATAAGACTTCAACCTCAGGTTTTTCAAGATTAATCCAGGCATAATTTCATGGATCAGTATCGGCTAAAATATAGCCAATCAAAACCCGATCCTTTCTTTACTGCTATGTTTTGTCTCTCTCAGCCTGCTAGTGATGCGGCACTGTTCACAGTTACAACAGTTCAGTCACAGGATGGAAAAAAGCAGTTCCCTAAACTCTGACACTAATTATTATTAGCAAAGACCAAAGTACAAGACATTCAGGTGGCAGCTTCTCATTTTAGCCAGCGCTGACCGTCACTTTCACCAGTTAAAAAGACAAACATTGCCAGTGGCAAGTCATATCAACTGTCACTAATTTATGTAAATTAATAAACTTGATGACAGGATAACATTAAACTTGTCTGTCGTCTGGGTAAAGTGCTCCCTGTTGACAGTGTCTGTGCTCATCCAAAGATCATTTGTGAGGGACGAACGTCCACTCTGTAACACCGCAAGTTTTGCCCAGAGTCACACTGTCTACTCCCCAGCTGATTGCTTGACTTCAGTTTCAGGAGTTGCATTCTTCCAGTTAAACTTTCCTTAATATCAAATCAATAATTTAAGTTTATAAACTTTCAGTATTTGGATCAAGTAGCTCATAAAAATTAAGCTTAAGTAGATTACAGCTGTTCTTTCAATGTGGCAGATACATATTTATTCAACATGTAAGCATTGGATGGAACCCGGTATCAGCATATACCCAATATTAAAGGATTAGGACTGGTGACAAAAAACCTTGAGTGCATTATATTATTAGATTATTGGTTACATTAGAAAGAGGTCTGCTCAGAACTGTCACATCCTCTGGGTAGTATTCCCTCACTGTGTGGAAGCTGGTCCTGGATGCTACTATATCAGAGTTTATGTTAACATCAGTTGCTCTGTTGTACTCTTTATTGGATTTTGGGATGTTTCCACTCTTGCAACCCCAGCCAAACTCTTTATCTGAGATAGCATTATGTTTACACATCCTCATCCTTTCTGGTAAAAGTGAATCGTATTGTTTTCTATTACAACAGTGAAGCATGAATCTAATTTCTGTGTTACTGGTTCAAGTTTGTTTTTCTGTAGTAAGCATTCAAACACGCTAAGAACACAATAACAGTCTGATATTACCTTACTTCCTACAGAACTATCCTATAATACTCAGGCCAACTAGCTTTTTTTATTATGGATCATCAACTTTTTGCCTGGAACATGTAGCTTCTGCATTGCATGCTATCATAAATGTAACCGGAGATTACATTTTCAACCAACTCAAAAGACTTAATGTCGCTGGTAAAAATCTGCTAGTGACAGTTGTCATTTCATGGTTGCTGGCTAGAAATGGAAAGCTTTACAGGCGTAGCAACAATAACAAAGGGAGGTGGGACGAAATGCTTTCATCTTTTTCTGTTCCACTTGCAGAGATAGGCTGTTAAAACAGATATATTCTATATAAAAAACTTACCTAGTGTTTTATTCCATTATCTATAGCTTTAAGCTCTAGTCTTGGTTAAACAGAAAAAATTGGATACGTTCAAAAAGTAATCTGTATACATCCATGCAGCCAGTGTTTGGCTACATGTCAAACAGCATCACCAACTTGCCACGCTATTGAACTGCCACCGATGTAAGAAGACCACATGCAAGGTAAAATAAATCAAATGCACCTCAAGCGTTTGAAACAATATGGTGCCCAGGTGGGTGCTGGCTGCCTCGCCATTCATCTTGCCTGTAACGGCTGTTTAGAGACTGAATCCCTCAGGGGTTCTTCCCAGGGTCAACATCATTTATACTGAGGAACAGGATGGAAGAGGAAATAGGCCTAACTCAAGGAGAAGGAGGCGGGAGAGGAGAAGGGAGATAAGTGAAAGTCTGAGTAGAGAGAAGGCAAACTGAGCAGGTAGCACTGCAAAAATGTCAATATAAACCTGTAACCTGACCTTGTTATCAGTTTAAAGAGGCAACTAAAGGTTAGATATTTATACATACTTTAAAGCTGAGACCTGTCTGAAATTATTATTTGACTCTAGGTCTTGTTTTAAAAATGACAAGAAAGAAAATATTTGTTTGAATTAACACAAAAAAAATTAAATGCAAAAAAGTGTTAATTGTTCTAATGTACATCTATCTATAATATAAGAAGAAAAGAATGTGAAGTGATACGTTATCACAACATTTAAAGTTCAGGTCAGGACTTTTGGTGTATTGTCGCCCACCAACTGCCCCTTTTTCTCTTTCTCCATCCAACACTGTAAAACTGCTTTCCCTTGATCACCCTATCCCTCTCTTGCCTCTCTTTCTTGCAGACCCTTGCTGGCTTCTGGGTGCAGGAGGTTAATGCATCATCCTTTTTTTCCTTTTCCTCTCTTTTTCTGTTATCTCAAAGCTCTCTCTTTTTTTCTTTTTTCATTTTTTTTTTTTTTTTACAAAGTACATTGGTAGCTTCCTTTGGACAATGGCCTTTAGAAGAATTGACAAGATGGCAGACTACAATAAATGCACGTTATACACTGACAGAAGGAATGCATGTACAAAACAATGGCTTTAATTTTTTAATGGTAAGAATGCTGCATTTATTATCAAACACAGTGGGCGGGAAGACAGAGCGTCTGTAGGACATGGCCAAACACTAGACTAGTCATATTTTAGGAAACGACAAGCAACACCTTTCTGAACAAGTATGAGATTAAAGCAACAAGAGTTTTGTAAAAATATACTCTTATTTGTCTTTAAGCACAAACTTGGACTGTAACAAAGATGAAAGTGTTATCCTGTTACTGTTGGGAATGCTTCCATCTCTTAAATAGTAACTCCATTTAGAGAAAAGCAGGAATTTACAAAAGGTTAAATCACAAATTTAGATCGTGGAGAAGCACAGATTGCTGTGATCCTTTATTATTCTTAGATCATTTATCAAGGCTTCACAATAGTGAGAGGTTGTGCACCTTTAAATAAATGTGCATACTTTTCTGAAATTTTCAGGCGTAATTTCCAGCAGACACTAGATGAAGGCTGTGAACATGTGCACTAATAAAGGCTTTCATGGGTTTTCATGCTGTTGCACACAAGGAAATTGCACCTTTGTTATCTTTTTCAACAAAGGGATCTAACCTTGACTCTGATGTGTCAGACCTGTGCCAGCCCACCTCCCACTGGGTATGAAAACAAACGGCACATCGGCTAATTAAAAAAGGAAGCCAGATGGCAAAGACCTTTGGTTGTGTAGTCACTTTAACGTACTACGCCGGTTTCTTTTGTGTTGCAGTAAATTGGTGGGATACGGCATGCAGTTGTCAACTAGGTTTCTGTTCCGCTTTTTCTTTTCACTGAACCCAAACAAGCATCTTGTTGCTTTGAAAAACACTTAATGTTCTTTGAAGTAAAAAGATATTCTGGTTTCTTGAGGGATGAAATTGGTAATCTGAAATGCCATTTAGTATTATTCTTTGTATTACTTTGGACTTTCTGAACTACATTTTCCATAACACATGGAGGATTTCTAACTATCACTTTGGATTCAGTAACTTACACTGTAGGCTACAACGTGTGAACTGTTTTTTTTTTTTTTTTTAATTTTTTGCTTGTATTTGGTTTCATTTTGCATTAAAAGTATGCCGAATTAGTTATTTGCAGTTCTGGATTTATAATGAGAATTTATTTGCAAAGGATTGACTCACTCAGTCTCAAAGGATGCACAGTCCACTTCTGGTTGTGGAGCGGTGTCACAGAAAGATGTTTCTTTTCCTTCACAAATTATCTTTGGTTGAGAACAGACACCTGTCTGCTTGAAAAGAGCACATTAACAGCCAAAAGTAGCACTGAAGTCTTTACAGCACCAATTAGCTAGAGCTAATCTCTCTCACCAATGACGTTTGTCATTTTAATTGTCAGCCCCACCGGCTTAAAACGAGAATCTGCTACCCAGGACAAATATTCCTTAAACACCAAAAGTGAAAACTTTTATGAACTGAAAGGTCATAGTGTCTTTTATCACATCATTCATTTGAAAAATGAGGTTTTTATTTCAACTCAATCTGAACAGTTACAGTATGGTGTACTTACAGAAGTGGACACAAAATTCAGTCCATTTCTTCCCAATCTGCTGCATTTGTGGCCTGACCTCAGCTTTACCTCTGGTCCCATCATGTAGGAAGCTAAACGCATGCAAAGGCAAATTCACATGTACATACACACATGCTGAGTTGGCACTTGGCTGACCATTGTAGAGCAGAGGGCTGGACCTCCCATTACTGAACACAGAGCTTGTGGTCTCGCTCCACTGGTGAGGGTGTCAGCAGCTCCCTGTCCACCCAGCCAGAAGCAGGGTAATGGATTGTGTTATTCTTTGTTGTTGACATTGCAGCAGACCTGAGGTTGAGTACACCCCACCCCCACATCTCTCTCTTTTCCCTGGCTGTTCTCTTCTTTCCTTCCTGCCGTTTATTTTTTCTCTGTTTTATTATTTCTGTTCTTTTGCCTGATGTGTGTCAGATATCCTCACTGACATTTACACCTACTTAGTATGTGATGTGATAACAGCTTACTCTTAAGAATGGTTAATTGTTGGGTACTATGCTAAGAGCCATTTTACCAAATCTAGAACATTGAGATAATTTCCTCTCTTTGGACACATTTAACTAATTAAAACCAGCACCATTGTTGCAACCCAGGCATGAGAATGCAAGAGGACTCCAGGACTTGCCAAAGTATCTGCAATTTGCGAGTGAGTCATTTGCGAAATGGGACTCTGGCACCATTTCCAATCTGCATGTAAGCAGCATCTGATTTTTGCTAAAGCGGTCTTACTTACCATGGTCTCTGGGTTGCCAAGCCTTGGTGTTAGGTTAGGAATGCTATTGAGATGAAGATGAATGTTAAATCAGCTAATATTTTCTTTTTGTTAATAACGATCCCTTCAATTTGGTTATAAAGAATTGTGATTAGGAATGTCTCGATCAAGTGGTTTTAGCCCTGGATCCGATCCGAGTCATTTAACGTCAGTAGGGAGTTACTCTCTCCATGTTTGGTGCTTTGCTGCAGCCTCTAGCCTGAGTTACCTCTCTGTATTCTGCTGAGTGTCTATTTCCGTTGTCTCTACATCTTTTGCGCGGATTACATTATTTAATTACTCTAATTGGCTTTTTGTTTGCGGGACTTTTGTTGCACTTGCAGTGGCGTGTTGATCGTGGTTGTGTCAGATCTCTACTAACGTCTCACACACACAGAGAGCAGAGTGGAGGAAAGAAACATTGAGTGTTGACGATGGCTGCACCATGCATGAAAGCTGACATAAAACCAAACATCGGATCGGATTAATAAAGCTCAACATAGTCGATACCGATCACTGAGATCGAGACATCCCTAACTATGAGCAAGGTATATACTAGAGAGGGACATTTGAACATTCAGAATAATAAACTTTTCAGTGCCCCGTGGAAAAACACTTTCTAAATGTCCAGAACACAACATATTTATTTCCATTTTTGTGCGGGAGTTTCTTGTTATTTATCAGTCAACACGTTATTATGCGCGATTACATCCGCAGGCCGATCAGGCAGGCTCTATTAAGGAGAATATTCTTCTAGTTTAACAGCAAAATCTACTTACTAAGCTTGTAATGCTACTGCTTTGAAGTTTGTGTCATTCTTGCCAATATGCCTTTGATTTTTAATAACCGTACAGTGTACAGTGTACAATATACACAAATATCAGCTAGCCTTCTATGACTTTTCAGCACCATGGACTAAGTCTTAAATCTGTTTACATCTAGAACAATTCATTTAATCTTTCCCTCGCTTTCTCAATCTCTTCTAGGCAGTAACAACAGATCCTTTTCCAGTGAAGATGCTCTATGACAAGTCACATGACCAGGTGTGGGTGCTAACATGGGGGGATATGGACAGAACACACCCAACACTTCAGGTAAGTGTGTTTGGTGTGTGTGGCATGCTAAAAAGCTTTCTCAGTTAGTAGCATTTTAGTTTTGTTGTCATTTGCATTGGTTTCTCTAAAAAGACACACAACAGCTAAATAACAAGAGATAGAGATATAGAGAGTATATAATTAGTTGACAGAGTTTCCAGGGCTGAGAAGTGAGGCCAATGCAAAGGTACCTAAAACCTGCTACAAAAATACTCCACAAACGAATGGGTAACATAGGTTCACACTTGGTGGTCCTGTACTTCAAAACATTGTGTTAATGAACGTATCTGACACTAGAATCTCATTTTGGAAAATTAATCTGCATTAAGATACAGGAAGTTAATATCTTTTCCTTGTTTTATAAATCAGACTGGTTATTATTTACATGAAATCCAGCCTGGCGCAGCTTTAAAAGAACAAAATAGTCCCACTTTATTATTGTTTTGTTTCTAAACCCCTACACCAACTTTTGCTGTGTGTGTATTTGTGAACTCTGATGAGCGATTATCGTCCTGGAAGAATATAATCTACATAAGCTGTAGAAAGTTCACCAAGCAAGGAAAACAGCGCCTCGTAATTAATTGAGCTCTGTTGTGTACCTGCGTCCCTGTTTATGTGATAAGTATTTGTGTGACAACATCTAATCTATGTATGTTTTAGAGCATTTACCAAGCCAGCAAAACAGCAATTCGCAGCTGCGGTGCTGTCTGCTTGTGCCTGGCGTCCCTTTGGACCCTTTGGTGTTGGAGGCTTCACAAATGAGAAATGATCACAGGTGTGGTTGTATTTAATCCATCTCAGGGGATTGGGTGAGGCAAGGGAAGGGAAAGGAGGATGTAGGGTCGAGGAGGTGGAGGGGAGGGGAAAGGGAACAGAGCTTGTGCCTGTGGGAGAGGTGTGATGCTGTTTTTATAGGGCCAGTATTTGTGTGTGTGTGTGTGTGTGTGTGTGTGTGTGTGTGTGTGTGTGTGTGTGTGTGTGTGTGTGTGTGTGTGTGTTTGCCTGTGTGTTTGCCTGTGTGTTTGCCTGTGTGTTGGCCTGTGCAACAGTGGAGGATACTGCCACAAGTAAAGCCACCAAGGGATCCCATTGTAATCTCAGTAATAGACACAAACATGTTTATTGCTCTGTTTCGTCCCATTGGAGGGAAGGATCCCATTATAATCATGGTGGTTGTTGTGTGTCTATTCATTACAGGGATTGCAGAGGGATGATACACTCTCAAATTTATGATCCTTAAGAGGATCTTAAGAGGAGTGAAATGACTCCTTTTATATTCAGAAAATCAGTTGCATTGTTGGTTTTGAACATTAGTGGTTTCAAATAAAGTTTTTGAATAGTTAATCAGTGGTTGGGAGCTGTTAAAGGGGGCTACAGGCAAATGGCCGTATTAATAATGCTTCTTCGTGATGTTGAAGTGGCGCCATTTTGCACAGTTATTTCTCAATTTTTTGTTTAAAGAAACCTTAATGTGATGGTAGATTATTTTGGATCTAAAGGTGCCACTATGGTCTGACAACAAAAAGTAGTAAAAAAAAAGGAAACCACCTGTGTGTGGGTTTTAACAGTTTTTTACAATTTACAATCTGCATGGCCAAGCAGACTGCATGTGTGAGTGCATACAGTTTAGTTTTGCACCTTTTCTTCATAGAGTGTAGGTGCACCAGCAGGGGATTTGTTTCTATGTAGTTGTCTCAGATGAGGCACACACTCATGGTGTTTATGTTGAAGTTGTTTTTAAACTTCTATCAGAGGTTATAGTCTCAAATGAAGCAGAAAATTCTATGAAAAGATAATTTTCATCACAGACAAAACAATTTCCTCCTCGTATAATTTGAAACAATCAGAGTACAGAAAGCAGCTTTGCATAACATTTCTTCCTTTTTGTGGCTGCTGCCTGAACGGCAGAAAACACATTTCTGTTTTTCATTTCATTCATTTCCCCTCTCTCTGCAGTTGTTCAGGAGTAATGAATAATTAGAGAGCAGGGCATGAATCGCTCAAAAATGCAATTGCAGGGAAACTGCATAATGGATTATAGTCCACGTGGATCACACCACAAATAAATAGTCTGATAATGTCATTATCATTTGGACTGAAAGTAATTGACCTGTTCAGCAGCAGCCTGTCACAGAGGCACCGCTTTGCTTCAGCACATCATACATGTGTATGAGTGCGTGTCTGTTTGTGCATGTTAATATGTGCGCTCATGGTGTGTAGGTGTGTGTTTAGCTCAGTGTGTGTGGTATTTTTTAAGCAGCCTAGTTTTAGGATGGCTCAATATCTCTGTGTAAACATCAGAGGGAGTGTGATTGTCAATTCATTAGAGAAGACAAATGGAGGAATCTCTGCCGGGCAGAGAGAGGCATGGCCTTTCAGACTGTCAGTCCAGTCTGCGTCTACGTGCCAAGAAGACATTTAACTCATGGGCACTTTGTTTTTCTCTCTGCACACACACAGACACCAGTCTTCTATTTTCTCCCCATTTATCTTTCTATGAGTTTTGCCAAATATATGTTTAATACTGGTTAATATTATAAGTTAAATGATTACAATGATTCAGGCAGGCAAGATCATCTGCATCTTTTACAGTTTAATCTTTTGAATCTCTCCATAGAAAGCGAATTATAAGTCTAATTTTTTAGTTTAGATTTTTGTTCGGTTTATCCCAATTTACTTGTATTTTGTTTGTCTTTTCTATTTTAATGACTGAATGTCAGTTTTATCCCTCTGTAGTGTTGGTGATAGTTCTCAGTTCATCCACCCAATAAACAGTCGTTGCTGGTAGGACTATTTTAGACAATAGTTATACTATTATGTTTTGATACGTTACTTTGAGGTATATTAACTTGAAGCTTAAACAAAAGAAGCCAAACAGTTTTTCTACTGGCAGATGAGAACTTGACCTAAATAAAACAGTAAAGATTGTATTATTTAAATCTGATGGTCTTGTGGTTAAAGAGGCCATATTATACTTTTTATGGGGCATATTATGGGGTATATTATATTATCTGTGCTTTAGTGTGTTATATAGATTTATTTGTGCATGTTAAAGGTCTTAAAAGTGTCAAAACCCAAAGTATACACGAAAGAGAGTAACTGTCTCCCAAGGAACACACTGTGTGGACGGTGCCTGCTCAGGCTTATGGGAGTTGACCAATTGGAACAGACTGGGCTTCTTTTGGGGGGGGCGGAGGGTGAACAGGAGTGTTGCAGCAAGTATGAGAAAAATTGTGGGGGTTTTTTGTTTTTTTTTGTTTTTTTTCAGGAAAACATGTAAATCTATTCTAGTATACCCCCAACATACAAGTATGAACCTGAAAATAAGCATCATATATCCTATTTAAGACACACACCAAAGACCAAAGAAAAACATTTTAAAACATGATTTAAGTCAGCTGTGTGACATTAATTTAATGTTTGACATGAATACCTCATCTGTGGATAGAGAGAGAGATAGAGAGAGAGATAGATACTTTATTTATCCCGAGGGAAATTCAAGTATCTCCACCTTTCTTTCTCTTGTATGCAAGCATTTATAAATCTATAATATAAGCAAAGTCATTTAAGTTAAATTCTGCATTGATCTCAAGCAACATGCCGAGTCTTTCAAATAATCTTACGTGCTTTATTGCTACCCAGGAGCAACAAGACAAGTAATTCTGACATTTAAAAAAGCAAACTTTCTGTAACCATGTAACATGCAGGGTTATATTAAAGGGCCGTGTAAGATTTATTGAATTCCCTAAAGGACACAAATACACTGGAGCATGTGAGGAATTCCATCTCATTTGGATGTACTGTAGTTAGATGTGAAAGTGAAAAAAAAAAAAATACCTCTGAGAGTGAATGTTGTTGAAAAGCAAAAGCTACTCAGTCAGAACCAAATCCCCCTCAGGTATTAGGGCAGCCAGCGAGGCAGGGGCACAGTAAAACTCAATTGGGCCTTGTTGCTGAGTGTGTGGATATGAAATCCAAGGATGAGCGATGACAAAGGGAAGCCAGTGGCATTAAGTTGAGAGCACCTGCAGCCCTGGAGACCACAGCAGCTGCCTAATAATACATGAGCGATACTACATTGAACCTCATTAACTCCCGTCATTGTATTCTGCATCAGTTGTAATGACTTTTTTTTTTTTTTAATGAGGATTCTTTTCATGTCGCACAAGCAGTGAAAAACCGGAAGATCAATTTTGTTAAAAATGGATGAGATGGTGAGAACGGGAGAGGGCTTTTGGAGTGTTACAGCAGTGGAGCAAAATAACAACTCTGCAACTTAAACTGCTATTTTTATATCCTTCCATTTGATAGTTCTGAGGAAGGAATGTGGAGTCTGGCCCCCCACTGGGCATCAGGCAGAGGTTCAGCTGTAACGGAGCAGGCATAGACATCAAAATAGATTTTACACTTTAGTTCTTTCCTTTTTAAAACAATATCCTATATGCTCTCTAGCAACATTTGCCTTGGCGTAAACCTAGAACAGCTTCAATGAGCCAAGTTTCTCAGACAATATGAAGTCTGTAAAATCAGAAGGAAAAGAGACAAGAGCTGGTTTTACTCTGGAAGCAGGATTACAGGGCAGAAGTTGACTGGTTGCTTTTAATAAACGCAGTCTCACGTGTAGGTCCCATAAACCACTGCACGTCCTTGACGGTGACCTGATCATGAAGGCATGCATGATGAAGCATGTGCCATGGACAAGGCGGTGCATCAGGGGCCCATCAAAAGTGTACGCACTCCCCCCTGCTCTTCACAAACATGCTGATTCAGTGCCAGGCGTATGACATGAGAGATGGGGCCTTTTATTGTGGTGTGTGCTTCTAAGACAACCATCACTGAATAAGATGCTTTATCATAGAACTGAGGTGGGGCCACGTTTCATCAGCTCAAGTCATAAACTGTAGATGTTTATCTGTTCCAGGATATATGGGCATGTCACCTGGACAAGCTCCGGCTGTTAAGACCTGAGATATATGAGCCTTTATTTCATGTACAGAAGCTAGCAGCATTCTGATGAAGCTGAAAGGTCACAGGTTTAACTATCACAGCGGTCAGATTTCAGTGTATTTTTGAGTAAGACACTTAACTATAGCCCAACAGACACTGGATTTATGAGACTCATACCAAGATTGATACTGTTTTATGTAAAGATAAAGATTTTTGATGTGGACTCCTATAATTTGTTTACAATTAACACTTGTCAGTGTTCTGTGGTGTTTCTAGGTTAACATTTAATTAACATTTCTGCTCTGCAATTTCTTGTTACTTATTGACATATTCACCAATACCAATTCATCTGGGATAAATGTCAGCCTGGCCGACTAAGTGGTCTAGTTCTACACTAAACCTCAATCTTTAAAGTGGTTCTAACAACGTAAAGAAAAAAAGTCTTATTTATTGCTTTGATGGTAATATTACCTTTGTCTTTTTTGTAAATGTACACCAATCAGCCATAACATTATAATAATGTTATGCAGCCAGCATACCAACAAACTGAAGCGGATCAGACCACACCGGCCAGCCTTCGCTCCCCCACATGCACCAGGAAATGTATTACTGGCCATTAGACCATCATCAGATTTTTATTACCCAAATATTGATATTGGCCTCAAAAATCCAGTATCAGTCAGGCTACAGGAATGGGCATTAGCATGTCGCCCTGTGGTGGCAGTGAAATTGCTTTTATTGCAATACTGGGGCAGCAAAGCCACCAAAATATACTTTTAGTCAACCTTCTGAACTTTGTGCACTTACAGACAAAACAGGTTAACAATGTTTTTTTTAAATAGTTTTCAGTTCAGTGCTGTATATTTTGCAAAATGCCAAGATTCTAGTGGATATTTTCATATTTATCTGCAATTATTTACTGAAAGTTGGTCAGTGGAGACAAAGTGTGTTCTTTTGGCCACGTCAACACTTTCTGCTGCCAACAGACTGTAAAATAGAAAACATTATGGGCCCCATATACAAAACAAACTTGTATGACTTACGTAGCTAACATCATATAAGTAGTTATTTATAAACCTTACTTTGAGGAAATTATCTTCTCTCTAAGCAATGTCTAGACTTGACTGAAGTCATTTTCCTGCTGCATATACGCCCAACCCAGCAGTGAACGTATCTTCAAGTATAAAATCTAAGAACGTTTTTATAAATTAGGCTCTATGACTTTGTCATAGTTATAATCTTTTTATAGCTTTGTGTTGGGGTTAAATATTCATGCTGTTTTATGCCATTGTCTACAGGTAATTCCTCAAGCCAGTGTGGGAGAAGTACATCATGCCATCCGCACAACTTTCCAGAGGGTCAATGACTTCTTCATTCCTCCAACCAACCTTATCATCACTCACGTGAGGTAAAACAGCACGCACACTCACACACACACACACACACACACACACACACACACGCTGACATTCAGCCACCTCGAACCTTAAAACAAAGGCGACCTCATTGCTCACTCATCACGGCCATCCTTCTGAAGGAAGGGAGAAAAGAGCAAATGAGAATTCTAATGAGAATCTTGATTTGTGTTAATTACTACCCCTCACAATCTAGAAAGGCTATTAACCTTCCCTTTGATCTTTGTCGATTTAGGTTTGCCTTTGTCTTCCTCAAAAATGAACCTGCAGTACACAAGATTGACCTGGAGACCTTCCACCGCGTCAAGACCATCAGCCTGAAGAACTACAGCTGCATACCAGTCAGCATGGCTTACACACATCTGAGCGGCTTCTACTTCGTCCAGTGCCAGAGCAAGAGCCACCTGCAAGCCCCGCCCCAGCTTCTCATCGACAGTGTGACGGACGCAGTGATTGGTCCAAACCTAAACATCACAGGGCAGCCTTTTGTGTCACCGGACGGCCGCTACATTGTGACACCTGACCCGCAGAGCTCAAAGCTGATAGTACAGACAGTGTCGTTCCAGGGGGAGCTGGGACTGAACCAGGAACTGGACGAGCCCATAGCTGTCTCCGATCTGGCTTTTCAGCCTTCCTTCACAGAGTCCAACCAGCATGTGGTTGTGGCCACTTCAGGGTCAGGAACGGACCTGCTATTTGCAGATCTGTCCTCAGGCCGCACTGAGGTTCTCCGGAGCCTCAAGGAGCCCCTGGCCCCCCAAGCCTGGCCCTGGGGAGGCCCCAACAGAGTCGTGGTATCCAGTGGGTTGTTTGGACAGTACCTGGTGACGCCGTCAGCCGAGTCCCTCTTTGTCCTGAACGGCAAACAGAGAACGCCGCACTGCGAGGTGTCAGACATCAAGAGAGGGAACACAGTTGTCTGGGTCGGCGAGGTATGAGTAAAAAAGAAAAAAAAAGAAAAAGAAAGCAGGAGACGTAGGATTAGGGAGAGACGTAAATGAAAAAAAGGAAAAGGAAAGATCAGGCCAAATTACGTATAATAAAGATTTATGTGAACATAAGTTGTGGACTCAACCCTGGGACTGAGCAAGAGGGATAAATGCCTGGGTTTATTGTAACAAAAGTACACTTAAAAATAGAGTAATTGAGAAAACATAAAGAAACCCTGTTGTGATATTTCTATTGGGAGAAAGTGTCAATGCCGTTCAGTGCAACAGTGATCTATGTGCACTTAACTATACAGAATTGTACATTATTGCACTTCCTTCCATGTTATCACAGCAAATAGGTACCTGAAGAGGGGTTATTAACGAACTATGAACTATGCACAATGCTCACTTTTTTTAGAGTAAAAAGCTTTCCGATTTTGTTTAACTCAACAATGTTTGTCGTTTTCACCAGTGCTGCATATAATCACCACAAACTGTCTGTCCTGTCTGCCTTTAGTGTATGTGTGTTCTGAGTCCTTTTAAAAGCTACCAACCCCATCTGTTTACTCGCCTTTGTCATGGTATTGTACTGTATCCTCCCTCTGAGAGCTTTCATTTTCCTCATGCCGGCAGAGGTTGGCTTTATGCACATGTGTAATACCCTCTATTTACATTGTCTATCCAAAGAGCCCGATTGGTCCATTAGCCGTCGACAGTGGATGTTTCGCTCGCGGAGGGAGCCTAACCAGAAATGAGCAGTACATCTTGTGGTCTCTTGCAATGGTATAATCTGTCCCCTGCTGTCTCTCACATTTATTCTGTACCTGCAGCACAACTCTGTGCTATGGAGCCTGAAAACGCCACTTAGCAGATTCCCTCAGGGTAATGACTCCGGTTTACGCTGACCCACATGCTGAGGCCGTGCCAAAAGTGGCATCAACTCCTCTATCTGACTGGCTGTGAGCATTTGTACATCCTCCCAGAGAGCCGTGCATCAAGATCAAACTCCTAGGCAGGTAGACTATTCTCACCACGTGGTAACTATTCAGCTTTAGTTATAGGACTGTAACACAAAGAGAATATATTTTTATTAGTTTCTGTTTATCAACCACGTTCATAGGAAAAAAATATGCTGTAATTTAAAACCTAGCAGCCTGTTTCAAAAGTAGGGATACATTTTGACAAACATTAGCAATATGTATCGTTAAAAAAAATCCTGTTTGCAGGAATTCTTATTAATTGTTAAATGACTAAAATGACAATTGTACAGGTTTCTTTATCATTATTATTATTAAAAATATGTATACCTACTTTTGAAAACCCCGGTATTATCTGTCTTAAGGCAGTAACCGAACAAACACCAGCAACTCTTCATCGATCAAAATCTCTGTGGTTGAACTGCATCATCTTCTGTGTAATTTGCTTTTGGCATTTGCTGTAATCATCATAATGATGATTCATTAGCAGCAATATAGCGATCCTGCTTCTCTGCAAATGTAATAATGTTATCAGAAATTACTGGAATCATAGTGTCTCTTAAACATTCTTGCCTGTTGACAGTAGTGCCGAGGTCTGGAGCTTGGATCACATACTTGATGGCTCTCAGTCTTGGGGCAGTGGCTTTCTTTTCCTTTCTTTTATTAATATTTATGTTGCATAGCCTTTCTCTGTACCTCCCAGTCTCAAACTACAGCTAAAAAAGAATGTCCTCCAATATTGAGCTGTTAAACTGTTTTGGTTTTCTTATTATACATTATAAAATAAATCAGGAGCTATTTTTCCAATAAGCGGATTCCTGTAGCAGGCAGAATTTGTATTCTCCCTAAATAAATAAATAGTATTTATACAAGCTTGCTACTAATTTTAAAGCTACTTGGCATTACCTGGATGAGAATTAATGAATCGCACACTTACTAATATTAATTACATTTCTAGAATTTGCTAGGCTCTACAAATAGTTGGCCCATCTAAAAGTTTTAATTGAGCTTTTCTAGCCAGCACAAAACAGATGTAAACCAAAAAAAGTATACCAATACATATTCCAGAACAAAACTTGCTGTTAAATTTAAACCAATCAAACAACTAAATCAACTAAAAATAGTGGACTATAGAAACAGTAGCACTAATGCTCAATCTCTGGGTGGAAGGAAATATTTTCTCGTGCTGAAATGGTCTTCTGAAGCTCCCTTCTACTTACAGTATATAATTACTGCACAAATACTCACAGCCTTTAGGATTTTGCAGTTGTTGACCTTTTTTTGCCGTGTCAAACATCCTCAAAAGAAGTGAGATTAATCTTGTTTATTTATCTCTGAAGGCCACCCGCAGAACAAGATGTCAAAGTTCAACTTTAGGGTGTACAAAAAGTCTGTCGGAGTCCTGTAAGACAAGTGTACCACTGTAAATCCAGCTGGAGTCTTGTTGAGTATATCTGCTCATGTGTTTTCTCTTGTTTTTCCCAGATACAAACAGCAGCCCAAATTAAATATTAATCATGTTCTCCTAATATGTAGTTGTGCCTGTAACTCCCTAAAGCAATGAAATGTGTAGGGTAGAAACCAAGCTGTGTAACAAAAGAAAAAAGTAAACACAGGAGTGAAGGAGATTTGTCGTTCTCGTTTGTGATTTAGGTATTTGCTGCTAATCTGCCATGAAATCCATCCTGGCACTAAAAGCCTGTCTGATAAACTTTCTGAAGACAATGACTTAATGATGATAATGTTTCTTAGACCACTGTTGCACTGAGGAGAGAAATATAATACCTGACATATTTATGTTTATTGGATGGACATTTGTCAAATTGATAGCCCAGTTTTCTCACTGTGTCAATGGAAAAAATATTCAGGCTCTGATGTTTCCCAAAGCCACTATCCCATCCAAAGTCACTCCCCAATGGCTCTAAATGAGTAATCTATCCGAGACATGCATGTAATGAAAATAGATCGTCGACATGGTTATCATTGACCTCTCAGTGATCTCTCACAGTCACATACAGTTTACAGTTGCTTGTGAAAATGTCACTTTTCTGCCCTCTCATTGTCACGTCCGTCAGCTTATCTCTTAAGGTCGATTCAGCAGTATGACATCGCTACTAGAGCCAAGGAGAGCAAGAATAAAGAGACTGCACCTGCGCTTGCTGATATAACTACATTATTGGCTAGCTCATGTTATTTGTTTGGATCTACCTTCAGTGTCACATGACTAATTCCGTACCTCTCCTTTAACCCTCAAAGTAAGGGGCTGCAGAGCTGAACCGCTTGGTGTGATAGACATTGATAGCAACCACTGTTGTAGATAACATTGTTCATGTTTAGAACATGTTCAGACATGACAAAACTGACTGTACAGTTTTCTTTATGCATTTTGTGTGTTCTGGTTTATGAGGGAATTGTTTTGTAAGAAAAAATCGAATTAAATATATTGTAAAAATCAGTATTTTTGCAGTGTCTTAAGTCATTCATTGTAATTAATGATTGTTTGCAATACCACTTAATAGTTTAGTATTTAAATGTAAAAACACTTCTTTTTTAAGTTAATTAATTTCTCAACCCAGATTATTATTCAATTCACTGCCATATAAGACAAAGAAAAACATTTGGGTTTTTTTTGTTGTTTTTTTGTTTGAAAAATCAAAACTAATATAATAAGCAGTGTGTAGGATTTAGTGCCATGTATCAGTGAAGTTGCAGATTGCAACCATTTGAATACAGTTCACCCTTCTAAACGTGTAGGAGAAATTACAGTGGCCGCTAACAAAGTAAAAGGCCCTATTAAGAGCCAGTGATTGGTTTGTCCCTTCTGGGTTGGTGTAGAAACATGACAGTTCAACATGGAAGACTTCATCGAAGAGGACCCGCTCCCTTTGTGGATAAAAACTGCTCGTTCTAAGGTAACAAAAGCACAATAATTCTTATTTTTAGGTGATTATACACTTATTAAAACATACCTATTAATATTATATCCTATTTCTGCCAGTAGATCCTTGTAAATGTTAAACACTGGACCTTTAATATTCTGAGCACTGCTGCCACAGTATATAATAATAATTCTCTGATATGAGGACAACATGAAAAAAATAAATAACAGGAAGAAAAGGTTAGTGTCAAGTGTTCACTACAAATCATCTCAAGGTATCACAATTAATACAGTTGTAACAATTTCGTCACACCTGTCAAGTTTTAACAAATTTTAGGTCTCTTGAATTTACAGCTGCAACAATTAATCGATTAGTCGTGTTTTAAGAAAGAATGCCCGAAAATGTATATTTTCTGCTTTCATTTGGTTTGAATATCTTTATGTTTTGGACAAAAAAAAAAAAAGACATTTAAAGATGTCACATTGGGCTTTGGGAATTTTTAATTGTTTTTCACAATTTTCTGAAATTTTGTACACCAAACGACTAGTTGGTTGATCAAGAAAAGTTGCAGCCCTACTTGAAACGTTCAGTAAGCTAGAGTTCATGCTATATAATCACCTTCTTAAAACAAGACCTCCAAAATCACACAGCTACCACTTGTCAGTCCACCTTGAAAGTATTATAGCTGACAAGGTTAGACAGAGTGACAATTTTAGCATCTGGAAAATTACTGGATATTTGCGCCGCGCTCCCGTCTGCGATGTGACATTCATCCTCCGTCCCTGCCCACATCGCAGCCACTGTCATTTATGGTCTCAGTCCACTGATGAGCTGGCATCGAGCTGGCCTTCACTCCTGTATAAGTTAATGTAATCTATTGTCTTTCTGTGCTCCCAACCATCCATGACCATTACTTACAACACTGCTCTGCTGGGGGACGCTGTCAATACTCTCTCCATCAGCGTCAGAGTGACAGAAAGGGGTGAAAAAGAGAATAAAAGACTTCCTGGAGCCAAACATCAGTGAGGTACGAGAATCTGATCACACAGACAATTAACACCCTGTTCACGCCTGCTTCCAACAGAATGGAGAAAGGAAGACACCAGCCAATCTGCAAAGTTTATCGATATATTTGCGGAAACCTGATACCACAACATGATCACACTTCAACTCATCCTATCCACCTCTTAATAGCTGCAAATAAACTCATTTATCACAATCTGATGCCAATAAGTAGACTACTTATTGTCGTCTACTTATTGGCATCAGATTGTGATAAATGAGTTTATTTGCAATGCTGAAAAGGCCTTTTCTGCCTTTACTTCTGTTTTTGTACCTACATTCTCAATAATTTCAACCACACTTCAATAATGGGCTGTAACTGAGTTAATGTACCTACTGAAATACAAATCACTTGAGTAACTGCTCATTGGCCAGATTCCTGGGCTACAGGCGAATCAGGGTCAGTCCTCTTGGTTCAGTTCAGTCCAGCAGGTGGTAATGCACTTGAAGCTGAACTGCCAAAAACACAAGAATAACATGTGCACTTTAGCAGTTTGGTTACAATAGTAACAGCTAGAACTAACAAATGTTAGGGGTTTAGTTACACTTAATTAAGATAGTAATTGACAAGATAGTTAATGACTTGACTTCTAAGCTCTCCAACCACAATGCATTTGCAGTGAACATTCAGATTTCATTTCTTCTTGGATGCATTATTCGTTGCTTTTTAGATATCTGATAGCTATCTGATTCAGCCATGATACATAAAGTGAGTAAGTATAAACTGAAAATGACCTAGGAATAGATGTGCCAAAGGCTTTTTAGGAAAGGCAGGAAGGTGGTTAAACTGTGGATTGCAGCTACGACACAGTTACACAATTGAAAGGACATCTGCCAGCCAATCAGAAAGAAATGTTTTCCATGGCTATGGCATAAAATCTCATTAGCTCCCCTAACACGAACTGTTCTGTGTTTACACGTAGATCACATTTGACAATATTCATATCTGCAGTCAGAATTGGAACATTTAATAATCACAGCAAGAAATAGTGAAGAAGACGAAGTGCCGTGCTGATCAAGTGTCTGGGATGTGAAAAAGCTTCAGCCCAGCACAAAGGCCACATCTGTTACTGTCACGTTTTAATGTTTCAAACGGGCCTCAGGAAGAATCACAGTTTCTTTTGAATCACTTTAATGTGGGAAAACAGTAATTAAATAATTTCAATTATATTCATGTACCATCCAAAAGGCAGTAATTTGAACTCAATCAGACTTGCACTTCCCTCTACAGTACTAAAAGGGATAATTATGGTGCTAAAAAGGTGAATTATTGCTGCTACAGAAATAGTTCATAGGAAAACAAACAAACAAACATCAAGCAAAGCGCAGACGGGAAGGTGAGTTCTAAAAGCCACAAATCACTGTAACCTGGTGAAATAATTACTTGGTGGTATCAACCCTGTCAGCCGCACGGAGACGGTTCAACATCTCACTGTCACTTTAAGCAAAGATAATTAAAATCTAGAGAGGAACCGTGGTTTTCTTCTTCTATGTGGGGGAGTGTGAATCCGCAGTGTGCCCTCAGCAGCATGTGAGGGCCAGTGAGGCTTAAATTGTCTCAGCAGGCTCATTTGGGTGAATCTCACTCTGACTAACAAGGTTGCTAACCTCCAGCACAAAAGCCCACTGGAAAGCAGACCTGAGTCAAATATTACTTGCAAATGTGTTTTTTCTTACTCTTGTGGAACTAATGTGTCGGGTTTCATATATTTTATTTTTTATTTCTGACACTAACTGTTAGGAAGTTACAAGAAGCTAAGAAATGTTATTTCAAATTCGGTGTGGATGAGTATTTTATCAGCAACAACCTACAAAGCTGTTTCTACCACATCAATCCAACACTGACGTTTACAGATACCTGCTATCTGGTTTTAAGGGGAAATCAGACAAAGGAACACACAACCACAAAAGAACACACAAGTTGACATTGCTCCTTTACGCCTCTAATGAACAAGATCCAGTGTGACTGGAACTAAACCAAACCGGTTTAAGTAGAGACACACCTGTGATGTGTTCATCATTGGGGATAGTTCCTCTGAAAGCTATTAAAAGATATACTCTGTGGTAACACTTATAATACAGCCTGCAGTTTACAGTGGAACTTCATTGTATAAATCAGATAGTAATTAAATACTTACAGGTTCTTACTGGCAGTGGTGGAGGAAGTACTCCAATGTTTTATTAAGTATCAAAAGTAAAGTACTCATCACACAAGATGGTCCATTTCAGAATAATGTATATTATATAATTGGATTATAATTATTGATGCATCAGTCTGTACATCCCTTTAATGTTACAGCTGTTAAAGATGGGGTAATACTCGAGTAAATGCACTTAACTGCTTTCCACCACCGAGTTCGGTCTAGACCTGCTCCATTTGAAAAGTGTCCTGAGATAACTTCTGTTATGAATTGGCGCTATACAAATAAAATGTAATTGAAATTGAAATTAAACAACATCCAAGGAGGAAAAGCTATAGTATAATAAAGTAATATATTTAGAATCCTATCAACATATAGATAATATGCTAATCTTTAATGTTTAATGATGAACCACAATAATTATTATTTTAAATGTCAGTGTTAAAAATAAGATATGCAGACAATAATAAAATAATATTGATAGCACTTCTCCCCTTTTTATTCTGCAGTTACACAGTAAGAACAAATTATGTGGGCTGCCATATAAAGTGTTGATTATTGTGACATTTCTTTTTTTTTTTCTTTCAAATTTCAGTTTTGTTTCCCAGTAGTTACAAAAACAGTATAATTTATTTCTCCTTTCCACTTCCTACAAGTACCAACTAAATGACACTGCAGATCATGGCCTGTATTATAAAGTGTTACCACTATACCATTAAATAAACACAAACTGAGAGGGATTATGTGTCATGGATTAAGTGCTAATTAAATTACTCTGTCTTTAAATGTGCTAACAGTAAGAACCGGACGTGTCACTGTCACTTGTTTGGCACATAAAAAAAGATTACATTTCAGTGAAGTTTAAGCAAAAAAACATTTTTGGTTTAAGCAGGATTAATGTTAGGATTAGAGTTTGGCAACTAATATGGAAAGGCTTTGGTCTTGGTTAAATAAGGAAGCTCTCATATGCTTATTTTACCCAAAGCAGTCTTGGTATTAGCTGAATCAAACCACTCAGACATACATTAGTAATGCTGATCACCACCACACTACTGCTTGTTGGTTGTGGTGGGAATACAGCTCTCTTACTGCACAATGAATGTGTGCGATTGGTGACGCTGATACTTTAAAAGATAAACTAAAACTAAAGCGCTAAAAGAAGATGTTCTTTAGCACTACCTGTGTAAATACTGTAGTCTCTTACTGTGGCATCAGCAGGTGTGTGTGAGATCTTTTTCTTCACCGTCCTTTTGATGAAATATTAGCAGACCAACATCCAGCGTTCTCTTGTGAGGATAACAAAGACTGGACGTCATTATTACAGAACAAGACTAAAAAGGGCCGTCCACACCAAGAATAGTAACTATAAAGTA